GGCCATGTTAGATGAACTAAGTGCTCTTCATAATAGTGGAACTTGGGAATTGGTCCCGTTACCGTCTGGGAAATCTGTTGTTGGTTGCAGGTGGGTGTTTGCTATCAAAGTTGGACTTGATGGTACTATTGATCGCCTCAAAGCTCGTCTTGTGGCCAAAGGTTATACTCAAATTTTTGGGTTGGATTATGGAGATATTTTTTCCCCTGTGGCAAAGATGGCTTCTGTTCGTTTATTTATCGCCATGACTGCTCTTCAACAATGGCCTCTTTATCAACTGGATGTTAAAAATGCTTTCCTCAATGGTGATTTGCAAGAAGAAATATATATGGAGCAACCTCCTGGGTTAGTTGCTCAGGGGGAGTCTTCTGGGATGGTATGTCGTCTTCGCAAATCCCTATATGGCCTAAAACAGTCTCCTAGGGCTTGGTTTGGAAAGTTTAGCAAGGTTGTTCAACAATTTGGTATGACTCGGTGTGAATCAAATCATTTTGTCTTTTATCGACACTCGAGTGCTGGATGTGTTTACTTGATAGTATATGTTGATGACATCGTTCTTACAGGTAGTGACAACCATGACATCTCTCAGTTGAAACAACATCTTTGTCACCATTTTTAGACCAAAGATCTTGACAAACTTAGATATTTCTTGGGTATTGAGGTGGCACAATCCAATGATGGTATTGTTATATCTCAGAGGAAGTATGCCATAGATATTTTGGAGGAAGCTGGGTTGATGAGTTCAAAGTGCTGTTGATACACCCATGGATCCCAATACTAAACTTCTACCAAATCGGGGGAGCCTATATCGATCTCGAGCAGTATAGAAGATTGGTTGGAAAATTGAATTATCTTACGGTTACTCGTCCCGACATTTCCTTTGCGATCGGTGTGGTAAGTCAATTTCTTAATTCACCATGTGAAAATCATTGGAATGCGGTCATTCGTATCTTGAAGTATATTAAAGGATCTCCTGGAAAAGGATTGTTATATGGTTCTAATAACCATACAAGAGTTGTTTGCTACTCGAGATGCTTGATTGGGCGGGATCTCCTTCGGATAGAAGATCTACATCTGGATATTGTGTCTCCATTGGTGGTAACTTGATCTCATGGAAAAGTAAGAAACAAAGTGTTGTGGCAAGATCCGGTGCGAAGCAGAATATAGAGCTATGGCCTCAGCTTCCTGTGAACTTGTTTGGCTCAAGCAATTGCTTAGAGAGTTACAATTTGGAGATGTCACTCAAATGACACTTGTGTGTGACAATCAGACTGCTCTTCATATTAGTTCTAATCCTGTCTTTCATGAGAGGACCAAACACATTGAGATTGATCTGTCATTTTATTCAAGAAAAGATTATGTCTGGAGATATCAAGGCTGAGTTTGTTAACTCAAGTGATCGGTTAGCGAGATAGTTTTACTAAATCTTTACGGGGTCCTAGAATTGATTATATTTGTAACAAGCTTGGCACATACGATTTGTATGCTCCAAGCTTGAGGGGAGTGTTAGATATTGTTTAGATATTATTTGATATTGTTAAGATATTGTTAGATATTGGTAACCACAATATCAAACAATATCTTCTGTTTATTCTGTTACTTTCAGTTATTCTTTTAGTTGTATCTCTCTATTATAAATAGACCACCCTATGTGTGATTTATACACAAGGGAAATTAATTCCAAACCTTATTTTCTCTATATTCAACAACAATATAGATATTTTTCTCTCTTTTCTTATTTTTCTCTCTTCATTTACTTATTGATTTCCTTATATTTTCTCTCTTCTCTCATTTTTTTTCTTCCCTCACTCCATCTTATTCTTCAATTAAAAATATATTGAAATTTAATAACATAAGTTTTTTATTATGACTTGAAAGATGAAAATATTTAATGATAAAAATACTATAATTTAATATATTATATTTGAAAGAATATTATATAATAAAATATTATTATTATGTTATAACTATTAAGAAAAAATGAATATTTATATTAAAAAAATTAATAAATATTTTTGTAAAATTACTTAATCTAACTAATTATCATAACTCAAATTTATTATAACTAGATTAAATTATTATATAAAAAATACATTTAACTTATAAATATTCGATATTTTTTAATTAGATAATTAGTTATTTATTTTAATAAAATAATTTTAAATTAATTATTTATGTCATCATAAATAAAAAATATTTATTTTTAAAATAAATAAAATTATTTATTCTTATCATAATTTTAAATAATTAGTTATTATTTTTCTACTTTTAATATTATTTTTAAAATATTTGTTTTAATATATTTTTATTAAATTATAATATAATTTTAATTAAAAGAATAAGTAGAAAAGGAGAGAAAATAAGAAATATAAGATAGAAAAAGGAATAAATAATGAGTAAAAAAAGAAAAAGAAAAAAAATAGGAGAAGAGAGAGGAAAAAATTAGGTGTAAACAGTAAACTAGTGAATTATTCTATTAGATAAATAAATTCATATAGATTCTACTTTAGTAAATTGTTTAAAAAATATATATTATTTTTAGGATTTATTTTCTTAATAAATTATAAAAATATGATTTTATATATTAATCATGATTACAAAAGTACACAAATAAATACTCTTTTATAGAATATTTTCATAATAATATATTAAATTTTAATAAGTTTGTACTTGTTTTTTATTTTAATGTTGTACCTTATATTTAATTAATAAAATTATGTGTATATTTAATTTTAACCCGTTGTAATATAAACTCATCGAAATTAAAAATTCAAAAATCGAAACTCAAATGGTCAAAAGCCACGAAGTGTAATTTTTTACACTTTAAGTTAAACTTAAGCTGTTTGGCAGAAGCCTACTTTGTTTGAATAAAAGCATGAATAATACCTTACTCATCGTGAATAAACAAATTAAAATTACATTTATTTATTTTTTTGTCCTCTTGATATTAATGGTAAAAATTATTATATTTAAGAACAAGGTTTTTTTTTTTCAATTCAATTTTAAAATTCTTCTTTCCTCTCTCATATTGGTTTTCTTTTCATAATTATTTGAAGTTAATAATGCTGTTAAAATATAATTCCGGCCAATTTTCATTTATGTAAAAAGTTGTCATTAAATTGTGAAATGCTGACTATTTGACAGGTTTTAATTATTTTCAAAATTTTAGTTTACCAAATAATAATTAATAGTAATAGTATATTTTTAAGATATATATATATATATATATATATATATATATATATATATATATGAAGAATATTTCTATTGATTAACACTAATGCGTTTGTTTTTTTACTTGTAATACAATTTTTTTTAATAAAAATAGTTACACAATTCCTTATTTTACCCAATTTTCTCTTTCTACAACACAGTAAATATATGTGGAAATTATTGAATATATAATTCATAAAAAATAATTAATATAATTTTAAATTTTACGCATAATAAATATTTTTTTAAATTCAAGGGGAAGAAAGTATTTGAAAGTGTTGATAGCAATAAATGATGAAATGTTGAAAAGTGGAATAACTGGTGGCAGTTGTTGACTCTCGTTGGCCTACTATTCCCGCGCTCTGACTCATTAATACACATTAATTGGAAACACGTTATTCTATACAAGTGGAAACATGTAAAAAATTATTAAAAAATATATTCAAATATTAAAAACAAAATTACAATTTTGAAAATATAATTAAAAAAATAATTAGATTATATAATTTTAAAAATGTTAAAAGTAAAATTATAATTTAAAATACAAAATAATAAAAAAATTTATATAATATAAATGTGAAATAAAAAGAATGGTATATAAAAAATAATTCCACCTCTTTTATTAAAAACATAAATTAATAACATCTATATTATATGTATTTTGTTAATTTAGTTCAAATGCATTTTAAATACTTTTATAATATGATCAAATCATAAATGACTGCATATAATAATATTATTGATTTTCAATACTTGTTTAAAATTTTGTGAATTATTTAATATAATAAAAAAACCTCGGGAACAATGTATTAAAATTAAAAGTATAGTTTATATTTTATTTATTTTTATGTATTCATTACAAAATTATTTTTAGGGTTTATAAAAATATTTAATATCAATAATTATGTTATCTTAAATTTAAAAACTTAGATATGTGTAATAATGATTTAATCGTATAACATGCAGTGGTGAAGACACGAGTGTGCTTATAATTTACATACTAAAAAATTATTTATGTATCTAATTTTCTTAAAATTTTAAATTTTTTATCAATATTTTATTTTTTTTCGTTATCAATCATTATTAAACTAATATTTCATAAGGATATATAAGAAAAATTTAAAATTAATTTAATTGAAATAATCCTTTATATTAAAAACTTTTTTTTTAATTATGTCTTATCCTAAAGACAGAAGAGTAATAGATAAAAGTAATTGATTATCTCAATTCCATTCTACGATGCCAGAATAAATAGAATTTGTTTACTATACTAGACAGTTTTAATGTAAAAAATATATATATTTTCAACAAATTTAAATTAATTCTTAAAATATTTTAAAATAGTTATAATAAAAAACCAACAATTTATCATACACAACTCTCTTTGTAATCAATGAATTCAAATAAATTACTTGTAAATAAATTCAAACGAACAAAGCAACCATGTTAAGAAAATGTCTAAACTGCAAAAACAAAATCCATTTATTTAAAAAATGATTCTAAAGTCCCTTTGTCTTCAATACGTGATACTTTTATTATTCTTCACTTACCTTTCTGACTGTAATATTAATGTGGAAGCAAAAAACCATTAAAAAGTTTCCCATACGTCATATACTCTTTCCCTCCACAAAATAATACTAACAATTCTTCATCTTTTTCTCTTTTTTCCTCTCGTTCTTCTGTCTCTGATTCTGCTTGTCGTTTTCCCATTCTATTCTGAAACTCTCTTTCAAAACAAAAACAAGAAAGTGAAGGTGGTGGTCCTGATCCTGAGATAAGACATAACCATGGTGCGGTTTGTGATGTCTTCAAACACCAAACACGTCTCCATGTTCTTCATTTTTTTTATGCTGGCTTTGAATCGCTTCCAACACTTTGGATCCAACGCTCAACTCATACCACAAGATGAAGGTACTTACTTGATTCCCATTTTATTTTTGCTATGCTTTTTCATGTGTTGATAATCTCTGTGTTGGAATTTGTAACTTCCGAAACCTAAGAAAAACTGTCGTTTACTTTCACACCATCTTCACAAAGTTTCAATCTTTATCACTTGTAGTGCAAACCCTACTTTCAGAATTTACTTCATCAACTTGCATTGCTACTTCTGTCATCAGATCCATAGGGAAATCACCATTTTTTTTGCTGTTCCCTTTCTCTTTCATTAACATTTAAGTAGTTTTTTTAAGGAAGTTCAGCGTCTAACTACTTAGAAATAATTTTAAAAAATATGTTTGGTTTCCGTGATCTCGCAATTCATCTATGGCAATGACGGTAGTTTTTTTGCCTTGGCCTTTTAATTTTCTGGGATTGTTTTGGTTCCGATGGATTCGAAGGAAAGAAGGAGAAGAGATAGAAATCATTGAAATTTAAATTGAAAAAGAAAACAAAAGAAAATATATTTGTATACTTGTCCGTACTAAATAAGGAAAACATATCCTTACTTATGCTTTCTCTTGTATTTATTTTCTTTCTATCATTGAAACTATTAATTTTTATCTGGATTTTCTTTCCTCAATGAAACAAGGGATTTGTATCTGGATTTTATTTGATCGTCATTTTGGAGTGTTTTGTAGATCCAATGAAATCACCACAGTTGCTCTTTACTATCCCATGTGATGTAAGGTAGAATCCTCTGTAAAGGACAAATGGGGCCATTTTTTTATAACATAAAGGCTTCATTTTCAGTATTTTATTGGGGACCCCCTTTTACAAATTGTCTTTTTCATTAATAGATGGACCTTACAAGCTAGCCTAAGAATTCTGAATAAATATTTTGAACTAAATGTATTTTAGTTTTATTTCTATAATCACTATCACTGAGTCATCACCGACATAATTGTAATTTGTATTATTTACATTTGCATTTTTAATAGACCAGAATTCTGAAAAAAAAATCAATAATTATTTTATTTTTATTATTATTATTATTATTTATTCTCTATCACAACAGTTATAATATTTGTAATTTTAGCTATATGAAAGCACGAATAGTGAAGTTGAGAGAGGGCATAATTTTGTACATCACATATTACAGCTGTGTGTAGCAAGTTATAAGGTTGAAAATTGTTAAATAAGTGAGGGTAGATTGGTAATATAAGGGCATATGATTGGGTCTAAACGTGTGCAAGTAAGAGAGTGTGTGTCAGATTGTGTTCATCCTTTTCTAGATGTTTGTTTGCCCTCTTAGGGTAAGCAATAGGTTTTTTATTTAACCTTTTTTTCGCAGTGAGTGAGGTTGCAAGGGTGAACTTGTGCAGATGCATCACTAGTCATCATTGGCATGCCATATTTTTATACTATAATCCAATCATAAAATATTGTATACATGCAAAGTCATATCAACAACATTTTTTGTACTGTGATGAGCATTATCCTCATTAAAAAATATTTTTGCTTTTAAAAAATAAATAATAGGGAAATGTCACTTCTACCACCAGCTGTATTATTAGCAACTTTTTTTGCACTTCTGTTCACATTTCACAAGCAAAAGAGACAAAAATAGCACCACTGTTTCGGTCATAAAATCAAGGCAGCGATAGGAGAAAGTAAATAATAGGAGACAACGTGGATTTTGATGGATATGTGAGTCAAATTACGTCTCAAATGCTCTAATACTACTTTATTCCTTGGGATAAACATGCGTGTCTATGTAATTAGACGGTAAAACGGGTCAGCACGTCCGTTCCGTCTTTGACCACCCGTCCGTCTTGTTTTTATCCGTTAAAATCTGGATGATAGATTAACTTGTTATAGTCATGTTATGTTATAAGTCTTGATTTGTCCGTTAAAGAAAGAGTTGACGAGTTAATCTATTATATTTTTTATTTTATTATTTTTAAATCAAATTTTTTAATAAATTTAATAATAAAATTATCATTTTTAACCATTTAATATATATATTTATATATATATATATATTTCAAGTTAATAATATAAATTGATATATTATTTTAATAAATTATATTTTAGAACAATTAAATTAAAATAAAATTTATATAATAATAAATATATGTATGGATCAGTAAAAATTTATTAAATATTTATTTTTTATATTTTATAATTTTTTTTGCCTAGAGATTTTAATAAAAGCTCAAATAGAAAAATATAATAAATGAGTCATGAGAGAGAAAAATACTAGAAGAAAAAATGAATCCTTAAGAAAGTAAAAAATATAAAAAAGAGTAAAAAGTACGATATATATATTATTTTTACCTTATAAAAAAGGATGAGCAAGAAGGATTGACGAGAAAGAAGAGAGAGGTTAGTGTTTGTCAAAGGAGAGTTTAAGTAATTATAAAACTTTTTTAATTTTCTTAATAGTGAGATCTTGATACTTTATGAAATTATCTTTATGAGACTTTTAAATTTTTTTTATAAATCTTTATATTATATATTGTCTTCCTGACTCTTGGTATTTTATCACAACAAAAAAATTATTAGTAAAGTGGGTCATGGGCTAACCCGTCCCGTTATATTATGGCGTGGCGGACCTTACCCGTTTTATCATCCTATATGTAATGATGGTGTTTTGTGTACCTTAAACCTTACGATTTCTTCAAAATAAGGTTTGGTTATCTTTATTTTGAACTCCACGTTGATCATGTTTTTTGTATTCATGACTGTTGATAGTATAATAATAATACCAAACTGAGAAGGGTTAACAATGTGAAATGTGGAAAGATATTATCTTTGCATGCATGCAAAGTTCAACTTCTTATATTTATTAGCCACCTTGTTTGACTGGGTCAAATTATGGATGAAAAGTTAGTATCGTGCTCAAATTGTTGAAGCCATTGACTATGAGAGTTGAAAGTGGCCAATGCATGTTTGCTAATCTTTATTATTTTTTTCTTTTTACCACCTGACTGTTGCTAAATCTTGTACTAGTTAAAATATGAGTTGGTCACAATCTAGGATTTAACAAAATTGGTATGAAATTATTTTCTTAAAATTGGCCTAATATTAAAAATATTAATTTGGGGGGTTAAAATATAAGTGTTTATTACTTTTACTAATCTTTTAAATTTTTAGAATAATATATGTCTGAAAGATTTGTCATCTATACTTTTTGTTTAATGGTACTTGACCCATGTTATTTGAAGCACTTTCACATTGTTTTGGTTTTTCAAATAGTTTGAGTAAATTAATTAACAAGTTATCCCATGTGATATGAAGGGCTTTTCACATTGTATTTCAAAGAAGTTTTATTGAGTTAAAACAAAGATGAGGTGCATTAACTCTAAAATTTTACAGTTGAATTACTACAAGCAATATCAGACAAAGTAGAGAACTTGAATTGGAAAGTTACAAAACGTTCCTGCGATGGGGATAGAGGGTTTGATAACAGGAAGATTTCAAGGGATCAGGATCAAAGCATAAGGAATGTCACGTGCAAATGTTCTTTCAACAATGGCACTGTTTGCCATGTGACATCCATGTAAGGCTTTTCTTCTCAGACCCTCTCTGACTATTTTATTATACAGTTCAATTTTCTGCAACTTAAGACAATATTGTAGTTTACACCAATAGACAATAGTATGAGTTTCACAAAAAAAAAAATTGAAAAATTTATTGATAACCACTGTTAATAAAGTATTTCACTTTTCTGGATAGATAAAAACAATTATGCTATATTTAAAATGCACTTGGAATTGCAAGTATTGATCATTTCTTATCTTTTAATTATAAAAGAAATGGTAGAATTTGATAATTTCAATCCTAACATTAGGGTTTGATATTTTGATCTGGCTTTGGCAACTATCAGTGAATTTAATTTTGACGTGTATCAATCAAGATGGTTGATATTAATACCAAATTCACTGAAAGTTATCAAACTTAGGGTTCAAAGTATCTGATACTGAAATGTTAGCAACCAACTTGACTGGTGATGCAGTTTCAAGGACCAACTCAATTATAATTATGAATTTCAAGATATATAATTTCTCATTCCTAATTTCAGCGAATCTATTAATGTTGTTGACCAATTGGTGGAAGGTTTAGGTAATTTGTTTCAAGTTTTAAGGTTAAATCTCATTGCCTATTGTAGACAGTTTTTTATTCCAGTTTCAAGAACAAAATCGGTAAGTAGTGAAAAATTTAGAGACAAATTTAGTGTGCCATTTAGAGACTGATTTAGAGTGTTATTTAGAGACCAAATTCACCTTTGGTTACTTTACATTCATTCCTGTTCATTAAATTACAAAGAATATTCATTTGAGATTCTAATTGTACCCATTGGCAATGACAGTGCACTCAAGGGTATCAATATAACTGGACCTTTACCCGATGAATTTGGAAATCTAACTCGACTGGAAATACTGTAAGTGGTTATACATTCGTTTTCCCTCTTACTTTTCTAGTTATATGTTCACAAATGTTGTCACTGTGTTAGAAAATATATATTGAATATGGATTAACCAAATGAGGAAGTTACTATACTATCTTGTTTGGTATCCTAATCAGATGGGATATTAAGCATCTGTTAATAGCCAAATACATTAACCCGCAAAAAATTTGAAGTTGGTTAAATTAAATATAACTAACAAATAATGAAGTACTGAAAAAATCAACAAAACCAGAAAAAAAACATGGTACAAATATGAATGGTGAATTGCAAAAGATTGTTATTTTCTTTTAACATTAGTAGTATGCATTCTAGTTCTAACTTCATCAAATGCAAAGGAATATCTACATAGAAAAGACTAACTGAAACTTGTATTGACCAGTGATCTCACTCGGAATTATTTCAATGGCTCAATTCCAAAAAGCCTTGGACGCCTCTCATCACTTGTAGTTCTGTAAGTCATCGTTATCTTTGTATCTGTGTTTTCTTGTATTGCTTGCTCCTTGTGTGAGGCATGTTCTTCATTAGTTAAAGAAGAAACTTTGAGAGTTGTGTTCCTTTTTAGTAGATGGTATATGTACTGTGAAAGAACGTGGTTTTTACTTTTACGTTGTGATTCGGTATAAACTCTCATGTTTATTGACTTTGACAATAATTACTTTTAAAAGTCATATAATTTTATTGTCATTTGTTTGGTTTATGATAGTAAAAAGTTTTATAATAAGCTCTTTATTTTGTTATTGAATATAATTTTCATACATTGTAATATTACATTGTGAATTGATTATAAATCATTCTGAATATGAATTCTAAAATAGCCATTACAAAAGTCAACAATGTTACTGTACATAGCAACATGAGTAAGGATAATAATGTACAAAACTTTTATATTATATTCTAAATTAAATTCTTTTTTTTCTTCAAAATGGGGTTTGTATGATTTTCCACCATGTTCACATAAATTCAAATCCTTAATGTACAATTGTTACCATGTTTCAGGTCACTTCTGGGAAATCGACTTACTGGTTCAATTCCTTCAGAAATTAGTCATATGACTAGTCTGCAAGAACTGTAAGCGTTTTAGAAAACTATGATATCATATTGATTAACATTTGAAATGGAATAAATATATTTGTAATCCATATTTATAGGAACTTGGAAGATAATCAACTTGAAGGCCCTCTTCCCCCGAGCCTTGGAAAAATGAGCAACTTGCTGAAATTGTGAGATTATTATTTGTTTTATTTTAGTCATTTTTATTTGATCTAGATAATCAAATTCTAATGTTTTGCACACACATGCCTAACTCATCTTTTTTCATTTCAACGAAATCAACAAGCAGACTTCTTTCTGCAAATAATTTCACAGGGACAATACCAGAAGCATATGGCAAGCTAAAGAATCTCAATCAGTTGTGAGTGATATGATATGATCTGATACAATTTCTTTCTAAGTTTTTATTTTATGCCTTTGTTAAATTGTTAAACCACTCCACATTTTCTGCAGTCGGATAGACGGGAGCACTTTATCTGGGAAGATACCCAATTTTATTGGGAACTGGACCAAACTTGATAGACTGTGAGTCTAATTTTGGTTTATCCACGACACGACCTTTGCTCAGTTGAAGAATCAAATAATGCTATATTTTCATTGTATTATCTGAGAAAACTTTTTTTGTAGGGATTTGCAGGGCACATCCTTGGAAGGTCCAATTCCTTCTGTCATATCTGAATTGATCTATTTGACAGATTTGTGAGTACTTTCCCCCCTTTTAGAATATTCCAAATTATTACATTTTATCTACATTTTAAAATGGTTATGAAATGCAATCTTCAATAGAGAAACATTTTCTTTTTATTGATGAAACATTTATATATCAGGAGAATATCTGATTTGAAGGGACCAACCATGACATTTCCTAAGCTGCAGAATTTGTCACTCTTGCAAAGACTGTGAGTTCAAACCTTCATTGCTCTTACGTGAAGAACTATGTAATTCCTTTAGCCTTTTAACGTTTGGTTTATTTCTGTTTCTCAGGGAGTTGAGAAATTGCTTAATCACTGGTCAAATTCCAGATTACCTTGGACAAATGCAAAATTTAAAATCTCTGTAAGTTGCATCTAGAGTATGTTACTGGCTATATATGCTTTAACATTTTTTTATCGACCTGTTTATCTATCTCATTATTATCAATTATAATAATAATAATAATAATAATAATAATAATAATAATAATAATAAAGAAGAGACATGAATCTGCTTGATATTTTGTTTACCTGGCCCTCACTGAGATGGTAGTATAAGAAGAAATTTCTGGTTGCAATCATAATGAATAACGAGAGAAGTTAAATAATGACACAATTAAGGTTTTAGAAGTCACTCTGTGATACTTAGATTCTTTTATTATCTTCATTTTAACGGTCTGAGTTTTAACACAATTACACTCAAATTGTTATATAGCACCTTTTCTCCCTCCTTTTCTTTTCTATCCTCAATTACTTTAAGAGGTCTATTCATCTGTTGATTAAGTTTAGGATCATGGAATTACTTCATTATGAAGACCTGTAAATAATTTAAATCCAATTAATTGTGATTAACACTTCTTTGCTTCTTTGTTAATCATTGTTAATATTTTTCAAGACTTAATTTTAGACACTCTTCAGCTGTTTGTGTAGTAGTTTGAAAGTCTAATTTTTAAACTATTCAACCAGAATCATTACACATAAGTACATGTCCTTTGAGGTTACTGTGATTTTGTAGTTATACCAGTATAATGGTAGCATACAAAACAAGGATGTGGATATAAATTTTATCATGCATCATCACGCAAATTATGTCAATTTCAAAATGACCGCAAAATGAGAAAATTTTAAAAATTATTGTAACCTTGAAATTACCTCTTATCATATTCTGCTGCTACAAATTTGGCTCTAACATATGCCATTACTTCATCATAGTAATTATCTTTTTTGTTTTCTTTTTTCATTTAGAGATCTGAGCTCCAACATGCTGACTGGTCCAATCCCAGATTCAATTCAGGACCTGGGAAAATTAAATTACTTGTAAGTGCAAATTTTCATTTTCCGGCAAGATGATAAACTGAAAGGATGTGGATGTTCCTACTAATAATTTGATCTCAAGAGTGTTGGTTGCATTTTCTCGATTTCCTTTTTTCTTTTTCCTGATATAATGAGACATGTGTTCATGATGGATGCAGGTTTCTGACTAACAATTCTCTAAGTGGACGAATTCCTGGGTGGATACAAAACTTGAAACAGAATATGTACATATTTCCTTGAATTTTTACCACCCCTTTAATTTCAAACTTCTACTTTAGACTCACTTGTAGACATTCATCTTATTATGAAATTTAATCTCACTTTATGTTCTCTTTCAGTGATTTATCTTTGAACAATTTTAGTGAGAGTTTTTCAAATGATTGCCAGATCTTGGATGTGTAAGCTTTTATTTGTCTAGAAATTATTTAAGCATTTCACCTATGTCAATACTAAGCATGGTATTATTATCGAACAGGAATTTAGCTTCCAGCCTCTCTCCCTTAGCAAACACTTCGTATGTTCCTTTCTATGATCTAGTTTAATTCGATATCAGCTTTGAATTATCCGTTGAAACTAGCTTCGTATCTTGCAGAATGTCTTGTTTGAAGATGGGCCAACCTTGTTCAGGAAAACCTCGGTGTGAGTATCTAGACTTGGAAAATAATCATGTTTTCATAAATAATGATTTTCTCAATGAAATTATGATAGTTCCATTTGGAAATTTGAAGTAAAATGTATTAGAGATCAAGTTTTGTTTTGTTCGTTTTCTTTCCCTGCTTTTTCATTAAGTTTGGTCATTTTTCTTAACTAACTATTCACTTTCACCGTGTCTTTAGTTCATTCACTGTTCATAAACTGTGGAGGACCTGAAACAGAGTTTGAGGACAATGAATATGAAGCCGACCTCAATTTACGTGGCATATCAAACTATGTTCGTAGTGATAGTGGCAAATGGGCATATAGCAGCACTGGAGTATATCTAGGAAGGGAGAAGGCTGATTATGTAGCAACAAATCAGTTTAATCTGAATATTAATGGCTCTGACTACTACCAAACAGCCCGCATGGCTCCTCTCTATCTTACTTATTATGGCCTTTGTATGCTGAATGGCAATTACAAAGTGAAACTTCATTTTTCTGAGATAACATTCTCTGATGAAAATTCTTTTGCAAGCCTTGGAAAGCGTGTATTTGATGTTTCAATTCAGGTGAGTTATGAAGCAAACAGTTTGTTAGTATATTATGTATGTTAGGACTTAAGTATAAGAGGAGAATCAACCGAAAAGACGAGTCAATTAGATGGGATGGAAGAGTCTCAAGAGTACATCAAGTAGTTCATAGGAATCCTAATATATTATACTCATGTTTTCTATTTGTTTTCTAATAAAACAAGAGTTCTGAAGGTAGATATTTTCATTACTGTACATTGACAGGGTTTTAAATATTTGAAAGATTTTAACATTGTTGAAGAAGCTGGTGGAGTTGGTAAGGGAATCACTAGGGAGTTTAATGTTAATGTTACGGACAACACCTTGCAAATCCACTTATCCTGGGCAGGGAAAGGAACTAATGCCATTCCTGTAAGAGGTATTTATGGACCTCTTATATCTGCTATCTCTGTGACCCCAAGTAAGTAGTTTTCATAACATTGGTTTCCTCTCTATCAAATAAATAAATACCTTGTCTTTTCATGTTAAGGAAACATTTCCACTTTGTTGTAGATTTTAAAGTTCCTTCAAATGGGCTGCCTACTGGAGCAATTGCTGGAATTGTGGTTGGGATATGTGTGTTTGTCATATTGATACTCTTGGCACTTTGGAAGCTGGGTTTTCTATGTGGGAAAGATGAAACAGACCAAGGTAAGATTAAGTTAAAAGGAAGTTAGTGCCCTTATGACTTGTTTTTTGCCAAGACAAGGTTCAGATTGGTTTGAAGTCAAGCATGATGAATATTCATTTATTATTATCTTATAAAATTGAAACAGACATACTTTCTGTATAGTAAATATTAGATCATATTACAACATAAAATTCATTGCAAAGATCTCAATTATGTTAATTTGAAGTTAAGAGAAAATGCACGCTTGGGTTCTCAAAACAATTCTCTACTTTCTCTTTTTTTACTTGATACTTTTTACTGAGTAGCTACGTCACCTTGTTGCAGAACTTATAGGTTTGAAAACAGGGTATTTCAGTTTAAGACAGATTAAAGTTGCTACTGATAACTTTGATCCAGCAAATAAGATAGGTGAAGGAGGCTTTGGACCAGTATACAAGGTAACTTTAGATAGATTCTCAAGCTGTATGAAGTTTAGAAAACATTGGGGGTAAGTATTTTATCCCCAATATTTTATTAGTGAAAAGAAGGTACTAAAGACTTCGCTATTCACAGGGTATACTGTCAGACGGTGCTGTGATTGCTGTTAAGCAGCTCTCCTCCAAATCAAAACAAGGGAATCGTGAATTCATCAATGAAATCGGCATGATATCTGCATTGCAGCATCCAAATCTGGTGAAACTTTATGGCTGTTGCATTGAAGGAAACCAGTTGCTGCTAGTATATGAATACATGGAGAACAATAGTCTTGCTCGTGCACTTTTTGGTAAATGCTTCACGAACATCTTTGGTTGTGTGTGCCGCTACTAAGTTGAAATCTAACTGAAAAAGCTTTTCTCTTCTAGGTAAAGAACATGAGAGGATGCAATTGGACTGGCCCAGAAGAATGAAGATTTGTGTGGGGATTGCAAAGGGATTAGCTTATCTCCATGAAGAGTCAAGGTTGAAAATAGTACACAGGGATATTAAGGCAACCAATGTCTTACTTGATAAGCATCTGAATGCCAAGATCTCTGACTTTGGTTTAGCCAAACTTGATGAAGAAGAGAATACCCATATCAGCACACGAATAGCCGGGACAATGTTAGTACTATGCCACAGCATTCTAGACTTTGTTCATCATTGTTGCACTTAAATTCGCAAATATATCTGTTGCTTAATATTTAAATAAACCTAGAAAGCATAAATTTCATTGTTTTTTGAAATCACTGACTCAAGGGTACTAAATGTTTGTTACCAGTGGTTACATGGCTCCAGAGTATGCTATGCGGGGTTACCTGACTGACAAGGCAGATGTCTATAGCTTTGGAGTTGTAGCTTTAGAGATTGTTAGTGGAAAGAGCAACACAAATTACAGGCCAAAGGAGGAGTTTGTGTATCTTTTAGATTGGGTAAGTTACACTTTTGTGTGTGGCATTTTGTGTTTCTTATTACAGAAGTGGAAGCATTTTGGTTTTGGGTGCGTAACATCCAACTTACCCTGTCATCGTCACAAAATATACTTATGTTCCTCTTTCTTATTGAGATTTACTTTCTTGTTTGATAGTTTTATGATTTGGTTGAAATTTCTAATACTAATTGTTGCATGATATTCAAGGCCTATGTTCTCCAAGAGCAAGGAAACCTTCTGGATTTGGTGGATCCAAGTCTTGGTTCAAAGTACTCCTCAGAAGAGGCCATGAGAATGCTGCAGTTAGCACTCTTGTGCACCAATCCTTCTCCCACTCTTAGACCACCTATGTCATCGGTAGTGAGCATGCTTGAGGGAAAAACTCCAATTCAAGCACCAATAATCAAATGCAGTGATAATGCACAAGAAGTGAGATTTAAAGCTTTTGAGTTGTTATCGCACGACAGCCAAACTCATGTCTCTTCTGCTTTCTCACAAGATAGCTTAGAGCATAGAAGCAAATCACTGGAGGGACCATGGGCTGATTCCACCACATCTCTTACAAGTAGGATCGATCATTCTTCAGGCGATAAACTTATTAGAAGTTCGAACGATGTGTGATTTTCAAGTTGGGGAAGTCAACTAATTAAATTCAAATTCTTTTATAAAGGAAATGAACAAAAACCAGTTAGCTTGATAACATACACACGAAAATATGAAGTCAAACATCAGTTTCAAAGTGTACAGAATATTTTTTTTTTTTTTGTTGCTTGCTATATATGGTGGTTTAAAGGTGTTTCCTGTGTTGGTCTTAAAATTTTGGCCTTTAATATTTCAATTTCTATTTCAAAGCCTCAACTGAGTGATATCTTAGGCTTTAAATGCCTCCATGTAGCAATAAACGTTCAATGTCAGACAAAACAATCAAATTTATTTTTGGGTGGCTATTACTGCCGATTTCATGCATGAATTAGAAGGTTTGAAGATGTGCTCACAGCCTTTAAGTTTGTGACCGCGTTACAACAAAATTAGGCTTGGACATGTCATAATTATGCATTACTGTATATTATAAAATCCTTCATACGTTGGGTTAAGCATGTGTCTATATCAGTTTTTCCTTAATATTTCTTTCATAAATGCAATTGAAAGAACGAAAAAATAACTAAATTTCTTTCATATACTAAAATCGACTTAAAAAAAAATCAATGAAACCTTCTATAAAGTTAAGTGTAGAGGTTGGTTTTAATTAAGGAGAGAAATTTAACATACCTTACCTTTCCTTCTCTTATTCGAGAAATATTTATATTTACAAAGAAAATTATCTAAATGGTGTAAATCAAATAAAGAATAAATTGTTATTATATTTAAGCTATTTGATTATGTTAATATATTAGTCCTATATTTAAATAAATACTAAAGTAAATTTGTCGTATAGTAAAATAATAAGATTAACTTTTAATTTTGTCATTTTTTAAATTAAAACACTTCAACAAATTTTGTATTTAAAACTAGACATCTTAAGCTGTACAGAAGAAGCTCATTCTGTTAGAATGACCACCTCTTAACACCAAATTGATAAATACTTTTTAACCTCTTCTTCTTGTACACCCATAATTTCTTCTTGTGCATCCATAGTTAAAATAAATTATATTTTATCCTTCACTAAAACATGTTTACATTTCCAGAATTTATTTTCAGAGTAATTAATCCAAAAAATTATTCATAATAAGATATTCTGAAATATATTTTTAGAACAATCATTTCAAATTACCTGTTATGAAACATTCAATCCAAAAATACATTTTGAATCACTCTTAAAATGTATTTTTAGATTACCTCTTTCCAAAATACATTTCAAAATAAACATTCTATATAACTCACTTTCTACACTTTCCGGTTCGAAAATACATTCCTGATAGAACAAGATCCCTATTTTCATTTTCAGTACAATTCTCATCTAATAAATATAAGAAATTATGAAGATATAGAAAAGCAAAAGAAATAACACTTTCAGGATTTCAAACAAAAATTAATAAAAGATTATTTCGATTATTTTACATAATTTACGAAAGTACAGGTGCCGAAGAAACTATGACAAAGTGAGGCTTTTATGGGATTTTACTTGCTCCAATTCCAATGAAAGATGAATTGAAAACCTTTTTGCTGGTGATCTAATTCAACCAAACTGAATAAGTTTATTCTTGATTGAAATGATTTAATTCAGCTTGAGTCCAAAATTTTGAAGAAACTTGAATTTAACCAAAACAAAGACAAAAGATTGATTTGGATCCTAATTTTACCTGAACAAATCTAAATCGACCTCTGCATACCCTTATGCAGGAGTTTTAGTTCTTTTACAAATGAAAAATCCTTCCCTAGTAGTAGTATTAACAAGCATTAGAATGTGAATATTAATACTAATCTATGATAAAATAACAATGAGGAATCCTACATACTGGAATCTAGCTTTTACAAGTTAAGCCTGCAAAATAATTAGAAATTCAATAGTAAGTACACCAGGCTCCAAATGAGTAAACTAATACACTACCAACCATGGCAGGATTTCTATTCTCACAAGACTATAGCTTTGTTGTTAGCAATTTTTTTTTTTTTTTTTGGATTTCCTGCATGTACTGTCCATGAACCAAACCTATGTACACTTTCATGCAACATATAAAATAGATGGCACAAAACACTAGAACGCTATCAAAACTCGATGCCACTATTTATTTGAATGGAGAAGGAAGGACGCCCAACAGTGGAGAGGGGGACATCAACTCTTAAAACAAGACCCGAATTCCCCACATTTCCGTTCCACTTTGATCTGCCAATCTGTAACACACAATATAAAGAAACAAACCATTTAGATAATGATATACATAAGCACAATCCTTTCACAGTGAACTTTGGAAATAATAGTCAGCAACTAGTGATAATAAAAGTCTATAATTGTTATGAAGCATTAAATAATCAAATATAGTATCAAAAAATATTTGTGACCAGGTTTGCTAATCCAATATAACTACTACATATTAAACACTAAAGAATTGGATGCCTTTTCACTTACTTTTTTGTTATCAAGCGACTAGTATGTTAATCACTAAAGAATATACTTCCTACTTTTCTTATGCAATATAGCAACGAGCATGTACCTACGAAAAATGTTATATATAATATTTTATGTAGATGTAGAATATTGATAAATAAATAGACATTGATCCTTTCTTATTAATTCATAATTATGACGATCACAATTACAAAAGACAATGATCATAAAAAAAGAATATACTTTTTATCTAATCAATCTTGACTAACTGCATGAATAAAAACATCTATGGTAGAACTTAACAAATTTTGACTCTAGACAATAGGTTAGGTTACAGTTCAGAAGCATAGTTAAATTTGTATCCTCTCCTTCGATAATATCATCTAGAAAAAGAATAGATGCTAAGTTTAGTTCATAAATAGAGAAATCTAACAATACGAGAGCAAAATCATCATCATTTGAATATATATCCATTATAGTCTGCACTATTGTCTCTCCTTTTCTATACAATAATACACTTAATCTTTTCCAGACAGAAGTCGAAGGTTATCGTTCTGGATCCAGTTTGGTTCTCTTCAAAAAATGAATGAAGAAGTATGTCCTCTAATTCCTCTCACAACACGAGAAAGAATATGATTGTTCAAAAGGCTTTAAGACAAACTTTTGGATACTTCTCGGAAGTACCCAAATCATATCCGTAAAAACATTAAATGAAAAAGGATTGAATACTTCCCGAATATGTATCTACAAATATCTCTGAAGTATCTTAGAAAAAAAAATTAAGTAAAATTATGGAGCAATGTGATTAGAGAGCTGATATTTTCCCCATTTTGATAAACTGATAACTGTCATTTTGTGATTAATCAACAATAATATTAAGGCAGCAGAAATTAAAACATGCGAGCTCCTAATTCTATCATAAACATGTTTTTACAACATCAGGAAAATTGAAATGAATCTTGAATAATTCAAAAAGTGATGCTCATTCAGAAACAACTTACAGATACTGACGCAAATGCAGAAGGATATGTCATGAAAGCACATCCACAAATTAGATTAAGTTTCTCTTTAACTGAATGAATGAGCTCTGCCCGCAACCCTGGATTGCTTCCGCCAACAGTAGGACACACACTGACCAAATAGCAATTATGAAAAAAAATATCAGCGCATATGCAAGAAATTAGAAATACAAGTTATCAAGAAAATCGGAGACAACAATGAAGTACACCAAAAGATTTGATGCATTGGAGACATTCAGACAATTAATGCATGCTTAAATTTGCATAATTTGTGTTTCCGAATAACTTTTTCTTAAAAGCTTAAGCTCTCTCACTAAGATTTTTATTAAAGGCAATTTTGAACGATAATAAAAGAGTGCTAAGGTTATAAGAATGAAACAAGAAATGGGCTAAGTGCAACAAGTAAATCAGCTGGATCGCTGACACCATTGCACTGGATTAAAAAACAAATTTTCAAGGAATAAGGATATTATTAACCACAAGATCCCTTTTTAATAATTTCTGCATGCGGAAGCAAGGCAAATAAAACAAAAACAAATTGGTATTCATAAAACTACAAATTATATTACATATCCTATGTTCTCATTTCTTAGTAAATCTTATTATAGAATCAAGAATGGCAGGAGTCCAATGCTTCCTCAACCAGGCTTAAAATCAAGAAAGACAACTTCAAGAGCCTATTTTTCCTCTCATGAATGAAACCATAAAACTAAACTACATTTTATTTATTTAGAGAGTGAACTATGCAATCAAAACTGTAGTGTACTACTAGAACACCATGTTTGAATTTTGTAGAAAAAACTTCATTCACACTTGGAGGAGACAATTTTATCTAGATTGGAGAAATTCATTCTAAAATGTCAAAGCACGTAGACAAGCAAGCAATCATCACATCCATAGAAAACTTCAACTAAGTGAAGCAGCACAAATATGTTATCCCCAAGGTAACCATATGAAATGCCTTAGCAATCCCCATGATAGTCACAGCACCTTCGTTCCTTTCCCCTGCCTCAAATGTAAGATCTTACCTGAATTGAATCGATGGTCTCAACATGAGACCAGATCGCTTCCAGGCCAAGGCTTGAGCAAGACCCAGAGAAAAGGATTTGTCAGGCAATTGTACCATCGGTGTGATTCTCGTTCCCCACTTGTTCTAGAAAAATAAAATTGAAGAGTAACCAATATTAGATCCAGTGCACAAGGAAATCAGTTCATGCAAACATATTGTGAACTTCAAACATAATTTAATCAAAGCCTTCAATAACTGACTCTAACCTTGCATGAAAAGCTAAATCTCATTTCTCCAGGATATTGACCCTGCGCTTGAAGAAGACCTCCACAGACAGGAAGGAAAGCACTGGTACTTAGGCCCTCACCAGATACGTAGGTTAGTTGCCCATTGGGGAATTGAAGATCCACAAATGACTGGGTGCAGAAAGATGGGGAAAAAGAATGACATGAAACTTATTTCAGGCTGATTAAACAGTTGACAAACATAATTCTTGGTTTCTTACTGACAAATGCCAAGAGATTGCTCATGTAAGGGTGAGTTATATATTAACTAAATATCAAATTCAGTATTTTATTCCATCTAGCATAGCAATTAAAAAGAACCAAATAACAACTGAAACAATGACAGCTCAGAGACCATCAAACGAAATGCAAAGAAACAGTACAAACATGTCAAACCAGAAGAAAACACAAATAAAACAGCCTAATGAATCAAATTGCAACATAAGCAATAGGGGCTGAGATTAGCAGGAGATGGGGTCGTGAGGTAAAAGAACAACAGACATGGAAACAAGAACTTTCAACACCAGACAATTCATTCAATTGGTTAAAGAATAGTGTAAGGTTTAATGGTTTAACCATAGATAAACTGGTAATATTTAATTAATATCATTTTAGTTTCTAATATACTACATTAAGGAATATTAAACAAAAAATAATAATGATAATAGAATATAATACTGATATGTGGTTAGCAATAATGCGTTCCTAAATACAGAACTCTAACTCCAATTCATACAAATATCAAACCCTAATTCCAATAGATACGAAAACAAGTCATTCAATGTCAAATATGGATAGGAAACCAGTCCTAAGGTCATCTACAATACTCAAAATACTTTCTAACATGTAAAAATAGATTTTGAGATCATCTAAAATACTGAGTTTATTAGACATTTTCTATATATTCTAGTCCCACAAAATGTTACCTTTGTTTTGAGTCTTTTGACCATTCTTCCTTCACATAATTCAAGATTGTTTTTTACTTGTATTCTGATCACTCTTCTTCAATAGACTTTCTAGTTCATATTCTCCGAAGTTTTATATGTTCTTTTCCAATTAATTTCACCATCTTTCATTTTTTAACTTCATTACTGTGATGTTGTTTCCCCTAGAAGAATAATGGTGATTGTGTATGTAAACTGTGACTTATTATTTATCATTCATTTCTTTAACATTTTTCTTTTTTTGAGTATTTATGGGTGCAATATAAATTCTTTATTATGTATTATAATATTTAAAACAGCTGTCATCCCACTTTCTACTACAGCGTTTTCAAAGTTGACCACTTATCCAAGATTGATAACTAAGGTTTAAATCTAATAGAAATCAGTTTATCCATTAAACTAGTTTTGACTTATGAAAAATGATCTAGAAAAACAGCCTTTAACCACAACACCATATTTTGACAACATTAAGGTATCCAGTTATCTGGCTGCTGATGTTTGGCATTATCTTTCAAGAGATTTCAAGTGTCACACAAAGAACATTATATTCTCAGTTAGCCGTAAATGATTAAACTATGCCTCCAACCCTTTCTATTTCTTTCTTATGCTCTTGAAAAAAAGATTGGTACAACCAATAAAATTCTATAAAGTCAAATGTTCCGTGATGAACTTAAATAACAATTTTACATCTTAGGGTAAGATTATTATAATCCTATATTTAATAATCAGGTAAGAAAATCAAGTTGACTTGCAAAGCAAAGCAACCTAAGCACTCAATTGGTAGATTAACATCATAAAATTCATCATGGCACGTATAAAAAAATAAAAACAGAACAAATATTTTTGGAGGCATCATAAAAGCATAATCTATCAACTTACACAAGCTACGGGATTCAGGCAAAGCATGGACATTAGCAGCCACCTTCTGTGTTTTGACCACACTGCTGGACAAAGAGAGTGCATTCCATTCTGACAACAAAAATAATGATCATGTAAGCTAACAAAACTAAATTTGGGTGGGGAGCACTACATAATATAACAGAGATGATGGAGACTAAATAAGCAGTTCTAAACAATAGTTAAATAATTATACCAAGTACGAGAGAGTAATTTCAACTAGAAAAACGAGGCATACAAACTATATTGTAAATTGCTACTGTCATAAAAGAGTATATAAATTATTATGATGTTCAATATGGATAACCATACTAATATGAGCACCATTTCAGCATCATAGAAAAATATATAATAATATGGATGGAAAAGTGATAACTAACTATGCTTAGTTGTTACGGTCTGGTCATATATGTTTACTATAAATTGTGATCATCGTCTATTAACTATTGATATGTTTATATATTAATATCAATTATTAATGGGAATGTCTATATCTCTTTATAAATATCACGCATTTATAATAATAATACATGTTACCCAAGTAACATATATTGTATCTTGACCATGTCATATCTTGATTTACTAAAAACAATTGTATGTATACATCATACCCATATTGTATTTTGTTGGCTTCTTAGGATACATGATATAGTAAAATACTTTTTATCAGGTCAGGCTATGAATGAAAGATTTTTTTTTTCTAACTATAGTCCAAGACAATGCCTACACAGCTGCTTTCAAAGATAAAACACAATGTATAGAGACATGCTTTATATATTGCCAATTTTGTAGCAAAGTCCAATTAGCCAGCACAACGTTATCTTTACCTTTCTATCATAACCATACCACAGCAAGTGCTGCTTTGACAAATGAACAGGTAAGAGGAGAGTTGAATCACGGATAAAGAGGAGAGGTCCAAGCTGAACTAAGAAAAGAGATGAATTTTCATTTCCAGATGTAGAACCACCATGTGATGCCTCTAATCTCCATAAATCTCCCCTGGCAACTAAAGAACCTTCCACTTCTTGAGTTCTACTATCATATGTTGACGTAAAATTTATGATTCCCTACATGACAAAATATAACCAGTAAATGAAATAGATAGAGTAAGAATTCAACAGTTAAAAGAACATTTAGCCATATAAAATACACATTCCAGAGCTTGCACATTTTTGGCATACATTGCAAAATAAATATTGAAAATAAGAAATATTTCCAAACAATCAATCAAAATTTTGAAAGCTAGTTGGCTATATTAAATTGTACCCCGAAGAAATTCAATATAAGTCTTTGCTCCACAGATTATAACTCAACAATAAGATCAATAATACCATTAATATACTCAACTGCTAATATGGTCAATGACATAAACAAGTAATTACTCTGACCTAGTTAGTGCAAGTACTCATTACTAAAATTACATGTTTGATGATGCATATATCACAGGAAAATTTGTGGGCATTGAAGAAAAAAAAAATTTCCAAGCACATATTTTACAAATGATAAAGAAACCATTTGCTCGACTCTTGTTTTCCCTTTATCTAAATTATGACTAACGCAACTATAGTAAGAGCCCAAGATGTCATGGCACATCACCAATCCTGAATCCCCAAAATAAAACCGTAGAAGCAATGAACAGAAAATAACTCCAATGCAAAATCATGCAGGTTAACAATACTCTGTACTTCTGATAGAGGGTGGTTCCCCAAGTGCTTGGGTGATTATAAGTCTTCCCTCTTACATTCAGATAACCAAAACATAACAAAGACCACCGACAAACCCTCCTCACAATAACATTTAACACTACAATCTCACCGTCTAAGGCACAATCTAATCAGATTAGCCACTTGATCTCAAACAGAATAGAATTTTAGAAGTAAAAACTGTTTTTTCTGCACATGAAAACCAAAATTGCACAAAAATTGCAAAGTAAACCATGGGAAGAAACTACTTCAATAGCTGTATTACAATCATAAATGTTCTCCTTCCATTACACAACAAACGTTTATCACTCCATCAATATCAAGCAATTAAACAACCACAGTTGATCACTTCCACATCCAAAAAATCAATCTGCAAATAAACAAAAAACAAACATATAATCCAAAGCCAAGCGTTTTTACCTGACGCCTGCCCATAAGACCAATCGATCCAAGGTTAAACCCACCACCACCCTCTTCTTCGGTGCTTCCACTGCCACTACCACTAACACTCTCAGCAAACCCATGATTCTTCAACCTCTCACTAAGCGACCCCAACCCCAAATCCTCCTGCACAGAAAGCCCAACTCCTCCTCTCTGCCACCCCTTATCCCCACCCTCCACCCTCACCGAAGTTTCCTCATGCTTGAACGGTACCGGCACGGGCAACGACCGGAAAAACTGCTGAACCAGCCCATTCAAGCTGGCCCCAAAGTCCGCCCCAGCCTGCCCGATCCTGTTCCCGATGTCGAAAATCGCCGATACGCCATTAATCCCATATTCCTCAGTTGCCAAAGCGAAATCCCTCTTCCCGAAGCTCTGCGATGGGAACTCTAGATCAAAGAGCTTCGATTTCGGAGGGTTCGGCCACACAAACTGCGGAGGATTCATATGCGAATGAATCAATCCGCTGAAACCCTGGGCAAGCCGGTCAGCCAGGTCCAGCCCGTGACGCTGCACCTCTTCCCATGCCTCAAACGACCTTTCCACAGACATCTTTCTTCCTCAACAAAACACACTAACTTTCCATGAGGTTTAGGGTTTCAATTATGCTAACAAATCTAATTAAAACAATAGCGAGTCAATCGAATCAAAGCACAGATGACTGAATCTGAATCTAACTCTATTTCATTTAAAAATAAAATGAATAGAAGATAAAAAAACAGGCTCTTCTTCAACAAAACTCAAAAACTTTCCAAACGGTCTAGGGTTTCGGTTTTCCTTATACTCACAAATCTAATCGAGAGAGAACGAATCTACAAGTGAAAATACTTTCACCTCAATAACTAATCCAATATCTTATCTAAAATAACACGAGCCAAATACACAATAACTGATTCTTCTCAGGAATTCAAAAATCAACGAATCAAAGCTATAGAAAATGACTTCCGAAGGTTGTGGTGGCAATTGCGAGGTGAAGCAGTTGAAGAAAATGGTTGGAATGATAATGGAAATGGGAGGGGGTGCGCGATGTGCACGGTGTTTGGTTTAGCGACACGTTGCGTGCGATTTGTGCAGTGCGAGGAGGACCAAGATTTTTATTTTTATTTTTCTGAATAGAAGGAAGCGATTGCGATAAACGATAATAATGGGGGAACGAAATGGGTCTCCAGAAAAATTAAAACAAATGCTGCAGCCAATGAAAACGCGTGAATTCGCGACACATTACGGGTGCTGACGCCACAAAAGCAAATTGAATCTCTTCGTTTCAAATATTTTATTTTATCATCAAAGAAATTTTCACTCTAATTTTTATTTTTGTCTTCACACAATCTTTAAAATAAAAAATAAAATAAAAGATAGATTTGATTTTAATTTTTTGGTTTTACTATAACAAAACTCTTTCATTTCTCACAAATGGCTCAATTAATACAACCAACTATACTGCAACTGTTGTCATCACTGATTCTATTACTATAACTGTTATTATCAATGGTAAATTGAAATTCACTGTCCCCGATTGGTTGTTATCATCATTTTGCTACTATTTTGGCTATTTACAGCACCAACTTTTATACATCATTAGCTTATTATTGCTATTATCACAATTATTGTCTGTAATTTTCATTGTAAAATGCCCCACCAACCCACTTTTTTCATTATCTCTTCCACCACTACCAAAGAAGTCCAAGTGAAGAGAAAATTAAAATTTTTGAAAAATAAAGTAATCAAAAGTAAACACAAACAAATTAAGAACTAAAATAAAATTAACTTGAAATGAAAAATTTTTTTACACCAATTTTGTAATAAACATTTGAAAAAATGGGATAAGACAAGTTCCCTCAATTACATAAGTAAAAAAAAATTACGAGGATAGATGAAAAAACGGAATTAGGCTACCCCATTTTCATTTATTGCATCTTTAATATGTTACTTAAAAATAGAACAAGTTGTTTTGTTATAGGTTATAAATCTCAATCAATCTATCAAGGCATCATGGATTAGCAATCCTAACTTGTGAATATTTTTTTGTTGAACATACAAGGACTTGATGTTGAACTTACATGAAGTTTGTTGATTTTGATGATTATTCAAGAACAAAGAACTTAGAGAGTTGAAGACTTGTTTTATTGTGTAATAACTCTGTTTTGATTAGTTTGAGTCTGTAATATTAGAGTTTAAGATAGCCGGTACATAGTCTGCACTTTAGAAGCTTCAAAAACTCACATTTATCAGTTTGTCTCGGCTTTAATCAATTAAATGGTCAGATAATCGATTATTACAGTGAGAAAAAACCATTTTATGTATCTGTTCACTGTAATAATCGATTAACACACCTATTAATCGATTAACAGGGTTTTTAATCGATTAAAACAGAGAGTTTTGAGGTTCTGTTGATTTTGGCTCTGTAATAATCGATTAACACTTCATTTAATCGATTATTTCAGTCAGATTTTGATTTTCAACTTCAAATTAAACCTATTTTCGAAAACCCTAATCTCAATACTCTCTAGTTCCGAAAATCCCAATTCCCAAACCCTAATTTCTCTACTTAAGGTTCTCTAAGGCTCTTAGAAAATTGAACAACCTTTTTCAAACAAAAGTTAAGTGTTGTGAGTGCCAGAGAACTGTTTGTTGGAGGAAAAAGGGGCTTTTGGAACCTGGTGTGGGCTAGAAGCGATAAGAATCACTAAGTGGAGTTCTTAGTGGATTGTGTGTTGTGCCGTCTCTGGGGAAAGCTGTTCTTCATCTCTTATGGGTTTCAAGAAAGGTGTTTTCTTTACTTTGTATTTTCAATTGTTATCTATTTGTAACAACTTTGATTATAGTGACAGCGTTAATCCTCTGTTTGAGTGATTAGTAACTGGACGTAGGGTCTTTTGATCCGAACCAGTATAAATCTCCTGTGTAAGACTCTATCTCTATCTTATTTACGTTTACACATTATTTTAATTGGTAAAATTTGGGGAAAATTTTTAAAACCTAATTTTTGTTAAGAAACCAATTCACTCCCCCCCTTGGTTTTTGTCCGATAACGCGAACATTCTGCTGCGCGATTCTAACAAGTGGTATTAGAGCTTGCTTTGATAGTCATTCAAACTTTTCGAAAATGGCCGACAAAATCAAACTTTTGCCGAAGGTGCGTTTATCAACAGACCCCCACTTTTTGCGGGTCAAAATTATCCTTTCTGGAAAGTAAGAATGCAAATCTTTTTAGAGTCTGTTGATAGAGGCGTTTGGGACGCTATTTTAAACGGTCTCTATATTCCTAAAGTTACTGAGAACGGTGTTGACGTTCCTAAACCTTTTTCTAGATGTACAACAGAGAAAAACAAAAAAGCACAATTTGACGTTAGGGCTAGAAATATTATTTCATCTGCTTTAACCCTTGACAAGTTTTACAGGATCTCTGTTTGTAAAAGTGCTCAGGAAATGTGGGAAATGCTAAGAGTGACCCACGAAGGTACCAACGACGTTAAGAGAGCACGGAAAAATTCTCTAATTCAAGAATACGAGATATTCTGGATGCAACAAGGTGAAACGATATTTGACGTTTAAAAGCGTTTCACTCATATTGTGAACCATCTCACCGGATTAGGTAAAATCTTTGACGTTGATGAATTGAATGTTAAAATTTTAAAATCTTTGGATAGGAAATGACAACCTAAGGTGACGACCATCTCGGAATCACAAAACCTTGCCACAATGTCTATGGCGACGCTCTTTGGAAAACTAAGAGAGCATGAGCTAGAGCTTGGAAGGCTAAATGAAGAAGAAGGACAATATCAAAAGAAGAACTTAGCCTTCAAAACCAAAATTTCCAAAGGTAAAAATAAAAAGGAAGAACAAGACTCTGAAAATGAAGAAGAAGAATTGAGTCTTATGATAAAGAAGTTCACCAAATTCATGAAAGCTAAAGGAAGGCATCCATTCAAAGGTAAGGGAAAGGTAAGAGAAAGTACTTCCGTAAATATAAAATGTTATGGTTATGGTGAAGCAGGACATATGAAGACCGAATGTCCAAATAAGAAGAACGAAGAAATCAAAAGCAAAAAGTTCTTCAAGAAGAAAGCCTATATTGCTTAGGATAACAATGATTCAAGTTCGGAATCAAGTGACTCGGAAGTAGAAGCAAATATTTGCTTAATGGCAAATGACAATATATCTTCCGACTTTGAGGTAAGTGATTCCGGCTCATCCTCAAGTGATGATGAAAATAACTATGATGAACTGCAAAATGCATATAATGAATTGTTTAGTGCCTTTAAGAACTTGAAAAATGAATATAAAGTTGTGAAGAAGAATTTAAGTAGATCCGAAAAGGAAATTGATTCATTAAAAACGAAAATCACATGTTTAGAGGAAAAGGAATCCTTAGAAACGAAAATTGTATGTTTAGATGAGAATGATGATAAGAACTTAGCATGTGCAACTTGTAAAGAGTATGAATATGACATAGATATCCTTAACCATTTGCTAGATAAATCCGAAAAGGAGATAAGTGATTTTAAGAAGGATAAAATTATTTTAGCTCAAAATAGTGTAAATCATCAAGCTCCTTTTAAAAAGCCTAAAAAGAAAAACAAAAGAGTATGGGTAAAAAAAGGAACTAGAGCATCTATTGTTAGAAATGCATCTTATTCTAAAGCTACATCTAAAGCATGTTTTTACTGTATGAAACAAGGTTACACTTCAAATAAATGTAAAATAAAACATTTTGATGTTCCTAAAGGTAAATACATTTGGGTTCCTATTGTTAAATAATTTGTTTGTCTCTAACCCCAAGGACCCAAAAGTTATGGGGACCTAAGTTTATTATGTTCTTGTTTTGTAGGAAACTTCCAAATCAAAGAAGTCTATGTGGTATCTTGATAGTGGATGCTCAAAGCATATGACTGGTGATAAAACGAAATTTGTGAGTTTCAAAGCTAAAGAACAAGGATATGTAACTTATGGGGACAACAATAAAGGGAAAATTCTAGGAATTGGAAATATAGGTGGTGTAAACACATTGGAGATTAAGGATGTGCTTCTTGTTGATGGACTAAAGCATAATCTCCTTAGCATAAGTCAACTATGTGACAAAGGATTTAAGGTAATCTTTGAAAGTAAATTTTGCACCATACATTTGATAGATTCCGAAAATATAGAATTAAAAGGCATTAGGCATAATAACATATATTTGATTGATTTGGATTGTTTACATGATTCTAGCATAACATGTTTAGTTGCTAAGGAAGAGAACCCTTGGTTATGGCATAAGAGAGCGGCTCATATAAATATGCATCATTTGAACAAATTGATTTCAAAAGACTTAGTTATTGGTTTGCCTAAGTTAAAATTTGAAAAAGATAGATTGTGTGATGCATGTCAAAAAGGTAAACAAGTAAAATCATCATTTAAATCAAAGAATGTTATTTCCACTTCAAAACCCCTAGAATTATTACATTTAGATTTATTTGGACCTTCTAGGATAAAAAGCTTTGGTGGAAATTATTATGGTCTTGTGATTGTTGATGATTACTCTAGATATACTTGGACATTTTTTCTAACAA